TATTATCATTATCATTATTGTCATTATTACTATTATCATTATTATTATTATTATTATCATTCTCATCATTATTATTTACATTATTGTTATTATTATTATTATTATTATTATTATTATTATTATTATTATTATTATTATTATTATTATTATTATTTATTATTATTATCATTGTTATCATTACTATTATAAAAATAATATATATTATTATTGTTATTATTATTTTATCATTATTATCATTATTATCATCATCATCAATATTATCATTATTATCATAATTATCATTATCATCACCAATATTATTATCATTATCATTATTATTGCGAAGGAGGTTGTTTTGGAAGTGTTGATTAGTTTGTTTGTCTCTTTGTTTCCTTCTTTGTCCTTTGGTTAGCAGGATAATTCAAAAAACTATGAATAGATTTCTATTTTTAGCAGAGGTTATATTATATTATATTATCAGCCCAACGGAGACGACATCATTATAATTATTATATTAATAATAATGATAATAATAATAACGGATAAATGATAATAATGATAATAATAATAAATAATAACTGATATATAATAATGATATTAATAATAATAATAATAAATAATAATAACAATAATAATAATAATAATGATAATAATGGATAAATAATAATAATAATAATAATAAATAACGGATATATAATAATGATAATAATAATAATAAATAATAATGATAATAATAATAACGGACCGCCGCCAGAACAAGATTTTTTATGATTGCACGAGTTAACCTTATATAGGGTAACTATTATTATTACTATCATTATCTTTATTATCTTCGCCAAGGATGCTATTTTACCGGACGTCGCCAATGTCCTTGGAAAAAAGAGGTGATTTTAATGTAATTCTTCAAGGAGAATATTTCATTACATCAGGGAGTCTATGGCCTTGGCGGAGGTATGCGCTCTCTAAGTACTCTTTGTTATCACCATTATTATTACTATTATCATTATTATTATTGTTGTTGTTAATATCATCATCATCATTATAATTTTTATTATCATTGTCATTTCATTATTTTGTTTTTAACATTACTGTGATTATTAGTTATTTTTATCGTCATTATTATTATTATTATCATTTTATATTATTATTATTATATTATTATTATCATTATTATTATTGTTTTTAGCAGTATTATTTCTATTATTATTATTATCATCATTATTATTATCATTATTATTATTATTACTATTTTTTATTATTATTAATACTATTATCATTATTATCATTATTATTATCACTATTATCATTATCATTATTGTTCTGATTACCAATTCTATTTTATGATTATCATCGTCAGTGTTACTAATATTGTTATCATTTTTTATTATCATTATCATTATCGTTATTTTTTTCACTATTATTGTTATTATTATTACTATTATTTTAATTTTTGCTGATAGTTGTTTTTATAATTTTTTGTTTTGTTATTATTATTATCATCTTTAATATTATTACTATTATTACTATCATTATCATTATCATTATTATCATCAATACGATCATCATTATTATTATCATCGTTATCATTATTATCATTATAATTAGTATTTTCATTGTTATTCCTTTACCATTATTATTATAATTATTATCATTATCATTATTTTTATTAGCATAGAGAAGATGAGAATAATTATCATTTTTATTGTTATTGTTATCATTATTATTCTTATTCTTATTCTTCTTTTATTATTGTTGTTATTTTTACTATTACTATTATTATTATAATTTCTACTACAATCATGAGTGTTGTTGCTATTGTTGTTATAATAATAATATTAATAATAATAAAATTAATAATAATGATAATAATAATAACAATAATAATAACAATAATAATAACAATAATAATAATAATAGTAATAGTAATAGTAATATTATTATTATTATTATTATTATTATTATTATTATTATTACTATTGCTATTATCATTATAGTGATAAGGATAATAATATCATTTTCATTATCATTGCTATCATTAGTATTTGTAGTACTAGTTGTTGTTGTTGTTATTATCATTATCCTCATTATTTCCGGTAGTCTCAGCAGCAGTAGTGGTAGTATTTTTTTTTTTTTTTATTACTTCCGCCAAGGAGGCTATGGTTTTGGTTCGGTTGGTTAGTTTGTTAGGCAACTGGTTAGCAGGATAACACAACTTTTTTTATGTATTTTTATCAGCCTTAGCCCAACTTGGGTGCCATTAAAGGTGTCTGGCGATCCGAATCCTGCCTTGGATAACTCAAAAGCAGATTTTTTTTTTTTTTTTTTTTTTTTTTTTTTTTTTTTTTTTTACCAGAGGTACGTCTTAGCCTAATTCAAATCTAGATTTTGGTGGTGATCCGGGTCCAGGATTTGAGAGGATATGCGCCAGTTATTATTATTATTATCGTCATCTGCACAATCATTTCATAATTATCATCATTGTAATTAGTAGTAGTAGTAGTATCATTACCATTATTATTAT